GAGAGTGGTCTAGCAATGACTTCAGCCAGCACCTTCAACACCCAAAATATGTCTGTGAACCATTTATTTGGGCATCAATGAGCTAGGATATCTTTCTCAATACAGGGACAGGAGGCACTAGAGCAGAAAGCAAGACCGCAAGTTTAAGTATCTAACAGCCTGTCCATGCATTTAACTTGTACACCTCTAACTGCAGAGTGCACCTATGTGAACATGATCCATAGCGACCTATAAAGGCATCATGAGAAGAAAAAGGGACCTAGCAAAACTAAAGATATTTAAGAATTCTATTAACATTTATGGAAAATTTTTTGTTAGTTTGTTTTTAGAAGATGCCAAGCTCTATCTAATAAGACACCACAAATTGAACTTTTCTATTGTATGAAACATATCTGAGGACCTTATACTTTTAGGTACACTCAAAAAACTTTGTGGGGTTTTATTTTTTTCCAGTCTATCTGCCACCTACATATACACAGAACTGCAAAATACTCAATCTTACAGATTACATTTTTCTTTCAAATTTGTGTGAAAAATACTATAGGAAAGAATAAATACATCTTTGTGGCAGATAAAATGCTATCTTGTTTAGAACTATGTTGTTTAACAATAACTTACCATTTTCAGGTTGAGTTTTTTTAAGTGAATCTATGAGAGTACTGACAGCTTTTAAAACAAATATGATTTCTGTTACTTGTTGCCTACAAAGGGAAAAATGCAAAGTCAGCTACTCATTTTTGTCTCAAGAATGTAAGTTTTCTATGAAAATTATACAACATTAAAATACCACATAATGGAAACAGCTGCAATGAAGCCTACCAGAAAAATGATATTTAGAGATTAAGGTTACCATTTCTCTTCACCTTTCCCACCATCCTTGCTGTTGTGTCAGCTAGGACAGCTTTAAATTTGATACTAGAAACAGTAACAGCATACACATCAATTTGAAAACACTAATGTATATTATTAACTGTAACATGAAAATAATCAATTTTATCATTCATGATCAAAACCTTCAAAAGTTAAGTGAAATTTAAATAAGTTTCCATTTTAAAGAATTTCCCAATACTTCAGACAATTTTTCTGTTTTCAGAACAATTACTTGAGTAACGATTCACAATGTCGCCATTTGGGTATCTTATCTTGTTTTTGAGAAGACTCCACCTCTCAATTTAAAAACTATACATAGCTCTACTGGGAATAAAGGGAAATCAGATTTCAGAAATATTATGTTACAGATACCAGCAACACTGTTTCAGTAACTGAAAATGTTAGTTACTAAGTTACATGTAACAGCAGCAAATACAGCCATTATTAGTTAAAGCTTTTTCAACAAAAAATTGGTATCAACATTTTCCTTGAAATGTCTTCCCCACAAACATTTCCCTGGCTTTAAATTTCACCCTCCTACACACATTATGTTTTTAATGACTGAGTGATATTTTGAATGCAACCTTCTTCTCATAAAGTACTGGAAATACCTTCCATTTCCTAAAGACAGTGTACATACCGTGGAAGAGGACACTTGCCACTCAATCTCTCATCCTCTATGTAGCGATGCAATACATCCTGTGACCTTTTCAAGAGCACAGAAAGTGCCATTCTAGAGATGTAGCCTTCCTGAGGAGTTGTGACTTTATTACTGAATGAAAACTGGAGCAGTGTTTCAAAACACACCTTAGAAAACTCCTCTCTCATTCGAATATCTATTTCAGCTTCTGTCAAAGTAAAATGTCATATTTAATTGTGCAGTGTGCAATTACAATACACTAAAAGTTGCATTTAAATAATTTTGTCATGTTTTGCAAAAAGGTTCTCTCTCTAGTCTTAAAAGACAGTAAGAATAAATATTAAGAATACATTCTAAGAAAAGGCGACTGTGCAACAATCAGAATAGTTCCAAAAATAAAAGATAAAATATGCAATACATCCAAGTAACATGTCACTTACTTGACATGGCTTTAATAATAAAAGACATTAAATCAATTTAAAAAAACCCAGTAAGCCCAGTTCTACATCATAAGTACTAATATTTGGCACTGTACAATCCAAATTATTTTTCTCTGTAACGGCTTATGTCTATTTTTTTCATCTTTCAGAATAAACTATAAATGTTTTTTCTTAAAGGCAGAGAAGGTATCTGGTTAGGTACACCATACAGTTATGCTAAGGTCTTTTAGTTTTTAAGAACAGGATATTACGTCTGTCTTACAATTGTCTGAAATTATTGTTAGAACTATCTCAGCTGGCACAATGCCAAACTATGTAGACAGTATAAAATAACACAAGTACTATATTATATGTGATACTGACCAAGAAGGAAGGAAATAATTTTTTTAAAGTTGCAAGGAATGCTTGGCAAATTCAATGAAATAACATATAATTTATAAAAACAAGCTGGATATTGAACACTCTATACTGAATACATGCCATGGAACTTCAGGTCTTTATCAGAGTAAGCACTCTCAACATTTGCACTACTTTCTAGTAGATTTAAACACTTATCTTTTGTCATTCAGGTACCATACCTGTAAAGGAGGATGACTGAGAATGTATTGAGCCTTTATTGAGCATAGTCATTATCTGACCAACAAATTCCTTAGGAATAAAATTAGCATATGGCAGTATCTCTGTGCTGATAAGCTGAACCACCTAAAAGAAATAAAATATATTTATATTTGATATATTATATTAGTTTTCTGAATATTAAAGTTGTAATTCTATTATGAAGAAACTTCACAAAATCTTCCCATGCTAGCTTTTAAAATTTGCAGATATGTCAAAAAAAATGTGGTCTTGTGTGTAACATTAAACTTTAAATAACAAACTTTTCTTCCCCTCACTTTTGTCAGAGTTTCTGAAGTAGTTATCACACAGATTTCCACTGACACTTGAGTCTATTCTTTGAATTGAATTTCTTGTTTTTAAAAGATAAGATCTAACATTAGGAACCTCCCTCCACCGAATTAAATATCCTTACTATGACATTAACACGTGTATCACGTGCTTACAATGTGACATCTGCAAAGCAGAACAAGTTAGTTAATTATCTAAACAAGCTTAAGGGAATGCACATTAACCAAAATGTTTTCTATCCATGGTCTTGATGCTCCCATCCAGGAACAAAGTGGGTTTACATCTCCATAAATTAATGCATTAGATCTCAGAATTCTGCTTACTGAAGACAGAACTGCTCCTGCTTTTCATCCAGAAATCTTGGTGTCCCAGCTGCTATTCTGGAGAAGTGACAGGTGATCAAACCCACAGATATTGCCCTGTCTTCTCTCTGCAACTCCTTTTCCCTTGTACCCCTAATCCCTGCTCTGCCACATCTCTCTGTCCCGGAGTGAAAGGGGACCCAGTCCCTCTTCATTCCAGGTATTATCATCTCTTAATTTTCTTCAGCCTTATCCAACATGATCTCTTTTACGATTACAATGGTCTCTGTGCTGCACAAACAAGACATCATTTCTCCATTTATGCACAAGCTTTTCAGTATTGAGAACACATCTGGAGGGCAACAATGTCATCACTGTCTGAATGCCTCCCCTCAACATAGAAAACACTTTCTTGAGGTTTAATTGTCAGCTTCCTCCATGGTATACCATTACCTGTGTTACAGCTTAGCAATAACATAATAAGTAAGAATCAGATAATGGGTTAGAGGCAGAAACACATTCTGGTTTAGCCACTCCAGGCTGTTTTGAACTTGAATGGACAAGAAGCAGGTTTTGGCATGCTGCTTCCTACTTTTTGCAAAACTCTGAAGCAGTCAAATTCAGAGCCTATGAACTTCCTATCTTGTTTTCAAAAAGGACAACAGTACCACAGAAAAAATAATGAATGGGTAACTTTTTAAAAAATATTTTAGAACCAAGTGTAATCTGTGAATGTCACTCTCTCATTATGTTCTACAGTGTATTTGTTATAGTCTCCTTACCTCAACATCAATACTCTCATTCTTCTGAAATTCTTGAATTGAGAGGTTATCAGGAGGTGTACTGAAAATAAACATACTACATTATACTTTTAAATTTACAACATGTGTAAGGAGATAAGTATAGGAAAATGCATTACATTTAAAGTTATTACATGCATCAAGTTGGTACTATTATATGGTAATGATTAACATTTTAGAATAAAACCTTACAAATAATGATGATAAAAATGTTTCAAAGGCAAAAAAGTAGTAAAACACTAAAATTCAAGAGTTACAACTGATGGACCCAATTAAGGACTGGTATCACCAACACCATTTTTCATATGGATCACAAAGTAATCTCTCCTGTCTTTTATGTGGAAAAGTCACAATATCTGTTCAGATGAGTTTGTGAAGGTATCATCAGGGGATCACAGTTTATAGAATCATAGAATTGTTTTGGTTGGAAAAGACCTTTAAGATCATCAAGTCCAACTGAAACATTACATTATATTTTACTTTTTCTCTCACTTTGCAAGATTTGATTTTCATCAGTACATCTGTCAAAAACTTAATTTTAATTTTACATTTTCTTCTGCATTAATGAAACACACTTTTCATTAATGGGATATTACTTTGTCTTCTTCTTTGATAACCGAAATGATGTATTTATTCTCATTCTTAATGAATTTTATTAAGTGACAAACATTTTACAAACAATAACTTCGAAGAAATTCAGAACTTTCTGCAGTTCTTCCACTATATGTAAAAATTTATTTACAGATTAAACGTTCAGAAGTGATTCAACAATAAAAATTACCCAATGCTTTACGAGATCCTGCCTTACCTGCTTGTAAATTTGGAAATCTTCTAATTTTAGATTGGAAATTTTATGCCAATCATCAGTCATGCAGTTTTCTCTGACGAAGTTTCATCTCATTTATTGAGTCCATCCTTGTACTTACTGGACTATCCGTCCAGAGAATTCAAATTCCTTTCCTTTGCTGGATTATGCTTCTGCTGAGTTACTGGGCCAAGTTCCTTGGCAGGGCAGAAAGAGTAAAGGCTTCCTACTTAGAATGCAATCAACTACTTCATCTGATGTGCCTAAATCATTGTTGAAGTTTGGATCAGACATGGGCTTTTCAAGTTAAACTTTTAGACATTCCTGTTTATAAACCTTGGTTCATGTCTGATCTTAGAGAGCCTAGAACTGGATTCATTTTCGATGAAACTAAACCAAAAAATGTACTCCAAGCTCTAGTAGCTGGTTGCATGACAGGAAGCCACACTAGAGCTACTCTGAAATAAAACACTCAAAGTGAGCACTCTGTGGGTGATGGGTCCTCAGCCTCATGAACTGTTTTGCTTTACAGATCTGCTTCTACTGCACTTTGGGGGTGGGGCACAGAGGGGGGAATCAAAAAAGATACCTCACACAATACATAAAACTCTGAAATACCTTGCTTATAATCCATAATCATAGGATTGCTTGCTAATATCTACACATATTCAATATACAGTTAGCAAAGTTATTAGAATAAAAATCAAGTATGAGCCAATGACAGCCTGTGGTACAAGAACTTTCTGAGCCATGTAAACTGGGAGGCTGAGGGAGCATATAATGAAAATATTACTATGTAGTCACCTTCCACTCTTCCTTAAGTATCCCACTAACCCAACAGAAACAGCACGTAGGTGTAGATGTGCATCTGTTCTGACCTAGTTACACCATTCCCGTTTTTCTGACACAGAGCACAAGTCGGGATCCTCATGCCTGTGTGTCTCTGAAATTTAAAGACAGTTGCAAAACACACTGGATTGCGGCTCCACTTTCTCCATAGTGTCTGATTCGTGCTGAAGGTAACTTGTCACTAGAGCTACTGGAATAGCCAGTAGCATTAAAAACAAAAATCAGAGACAAGGCGCTATATAAGGTCGATATAATTTCATATATTAAATTTCTCCTCTTCCCATAATTTTAGTTTTTGCCTTTTTAAAATAACCAGATAACATCTTCAAGCTGAGGAACAGTTTGGAAATTTAAATACTTGAAACAAATGAGTAGAAATACTGGGACTAAGACTGCCTGTGGTACTTCAACTTGCTGCTATTGTGTATGCTTGTGTGTTACAATGCATCTTAAACTAGACAATGCTTTTTATTCCCCCACCCCCACCCCCCCCTCCAGAGAAACCATCTGATTAAGTACATACTACTGAGAAGGAAGGAAGGAAGGAAAATGATAGGGTCAGTCTGCCACAACATTCCCTGCCTAATTTATGGCAGAATAGGTGGGTGCAAGGAAAAGAGAGCTCTGGACTGAACAAAGAACCAAGCTGTTCAGTAAGCAGAGGAATCGCTGCAGTACTGTAGTGGCAAGCAGACTGGCATCCGTTGCTTAATTCCAAACTACCTCCCCAGCCCTCAGTTTTTCCCCCACCCCATGTCCCCCCCCAGGAAATAACAGATGTGGTGGGTAGTTCAGAGTCAAGCACGTGCTCGCTGGCTAGGCAGCTGCCAAATATACGACTGTGGACCCATGCCAGCCTTGTCCTCATAAGGGCACTTGTCTGAGCCTGTCTTCTCCATTCCACTGCCAGTTTTAATGAAAGGTTGAAGAACTTTGGAGGCTTCTAAATCTCATTCGTATCTGGTTAGTTTAGCTAACTGGTAGGGTTCCCCACACCTCCCCAGTGCTTCTATATGACACTGACCAAGTCAAATAAGATTTTTCCAAGATAGGCTTTTTTTTCCCTTATCTTCTGGATGCTTAGCATGAGACACCTGAAGTTCAGTCTGCACACCTACAGCTAATTTTCAGTTTTGATAATTATGACAGTTTGTATCAATGTTCCTGATTGAAAAAGAAATATCTATCACTTCCTCAAAGGGACTTTATCTACATAACTTCACCACTGCCTGTGAAATGCTAAAGTGTTACGTGTACAACTAGAAAAAACTCAAAGAAGAAAATAGTAAATACTGTATTTATTATTGGTTTATGTGTTAGGCAGTTGGGAAGTCTGGAGTTACACGTTGAAAACAAAGAATAAAATAAAATATTAAGTAGCTGTTCAGCCAGTACCTTTTGTAATATATAAAGAAGTTAACTATGCAAACCTTTAAATAGTAATGTAACCTATTATGATGCATACAAATGCAGGTTGTGTTGAAACACATGAGAAGCTTTCATTCTGACACTTCCTACTCTACAACTCACTGACTTTCTGAGCTGATTTTTACTTTAAAGAGGTGTTAAGATCCTTCAGTTTAGTCATCCATACCTGATCTGCTATACATGCTACAGATTATACTACATACTTGTTCATGCAGCAAATTACTCCCAGGTAAATAGATTTTTGTAAGTAAGGTGTCTATATGAAGCACCTATCTAGGAATAAAAAGCTTTCCTGATCTGATGCAATACAGCCAAAGTGTACCCAAAGGGTCAAGAGCCAGGGAAGATAAGAGGCAGTGCAATGCAGACTGTTGCTATGTGCAGGCATTCCTAGGTACAGAGCTCCCAGCCACTGCCCACTGTCTAGGCAGGGCTTTAGAGCACAACAACAAAGAGCTAACAGCCACCCAGAGTCCTGCTGTGCACAGCAGCACTCTGCTCTGAAGCATCTTTGTGGAGAGTATTGATTTAATTCCCTCATGTGAGCACAGACTTCTGCTCTAGTAAATTATATATACACACATTTGTTGAATTTTATTTTATAATGGCTTGACATGCATCCATGAAAGCCTCTGGGAAAGAAGAATGTTATGAAATAATAAACAGACCAGGCTCTTACTAGAAGACAATTTTGTGTAAATTAAGTTACATGAAATATATTAATTTTTAAATGTAATTTTGATTTATAATAAAAATCAAGATTATTGAGCCTCCTCAGCTGTAGCTTGCTTTTTATTAAAAAATAAAAAAATAAAAAAAAAAGGTTGAAGCTTATTTCTTGGAAGCTGTTAATTCTCTATGACAGTAGCGTCTTCCTTTTTCATTTACCTGGGCTCTTTTGGCTATATTTGAAATTTCTTGATGTACAAAGCTGCAGAGACCATTTCTGCTGTGCTTTGTACTTTTTAAACATCAAAGAGCAGAGTATCTCCTCTCATTCAGCCCCATAACTGGCTTCAAAACCTGTTCCTATCCAAAAGACAGAGGCAAGACCATGCGAAGGAGGTTCACTATTTTAAACACAGAGATTTACAGGATCAAATTTAAGGGTTTTAACCACAGTGACCTCTTGCCTAACCAATGCCAACTCAGTTTCACTGGTGGAAGTAATATTAAGCTATCTACACATGCAATTTCTAGGACCACAGTTCTTAGAAGAATTATGAGTTAGATAGAAAAATGTTGATTAAAATGTGTATCAGTGAAATAGAAAGTTTCAATTTTCTACTCTATCCTCAGCTAGGTAGAGACTTGGAGAATGTGCATACAAAAATGAGACAACACGCACTGGGATATTTTAAGGAATCAAACTGAAGAGAAAAACTAGCCAAATCGCTTTTGCAGTGTTGCTAGGAGGACTGACTGCAATAAGACATTAACAAGTTTTACAGAGATGCAGATATTTCATCTTTAGTACCATCCCAGCAGTGCTAATACAGCTTTGAAGAATAAGGGTTTGAAGAGCGGGTACAAAAGGAAGATATTTACCTAGCTTTGCATGAAGTCTGGAGAGATTATAGCATGGAACATGTAGATCATTAAATAGTGAAAAGCGTGGAGTATGAAAACCCAGTGAAGGAAGAAAAGTAAGTTTCTTTGTGACAAAACATTTCAGTTTCCTTGAAGCAGAGTACTTAGAAAAAATTACATAATTGCCAGCATAAGAAAGTAAATTTTCAGTTCTAAATGTATTCATGTCTAACTGAATATATCTAGCTGTATTCCTCTCATAAGGTGTGACATGTTGGATAATGGTAAAAAAACCCACGATAATGCAGTAATGCTGTTACTCTGTCTCACTGATAGCCTCCTGGGGTGTCTGAATTGCAATTTCCAAATTCTTTGCACTTCAGAACCTTTTCAATCCATGCTGGCTTTCAGCAGTGCAGTCAGATTTGTACACTTCTGCATCTGACTTAACAGACCCTGTGTCCTTCATAGCATATTTTCAAGTTGGAAAGCCACCAGAGATGACTGACAACAGTCGCCATAAGCCACAGTTCCAGTCAGCAGGGTCACTAAAACCAAGTCTCTAACCTAACTAAGAGCACAGTGTGCTCTCATCTTCTCATGCATGGCTTGGTTAATTGATTTTGGTGTTACAGACAAAAATCTAAGTACTACCAAAAGTTTTAAAAAACATAACTCATTGTTAATGTAAATAAATCAGGGAACACACTGAAAAACAGCTTTTATATTACCTAGTCAGCCTAAAATAAAGGACCAACATGGACCATTGGAAAAGAAAGCACATTCCCACTCCCTTCTCCTATAATCCGAAGGTTGACATGTACCTCAACTCAGCAATAAATTTTAGCTGTTACTTTCAAAATAGTTAATAGATTCTCCCAAATTACCGTGGAATAAGACACTCCTATAAATCACATATATTTTCTATTTGTCTATATAACAAAGAAAAAAAATGAAAGAACACAGTAAATCTGAAAATTCTGAATTTAATTTACTTAGAAATGGAACAACTACAAATGTAAGAGACTGACTATGCTGCAGTTACAATCCACTAAAAGACACAATTTAGAAAATTCTCATATAAAAAGGACAGGTTGCCCTATTTGCCAAGGCTAGTTTCACAGCATCTTGCACAGAAGTGCAGAAGGACTTAACCAAAGGAAATCAGAAGAAAATTACCTCAATGGGGGGAACTTCCACAGCTATCTCTAGAGCCCTCCTTGAATCACAGCAAGAGAAGCATGCTTCAGGGACATCGTGGGGAGGAGGAAGAGAATGAAGAAAAGGAGAAATAACTGCTATTTCTAATTGTCCTGACTACTGGCATGAGGAAGACGTGCTCCCTTCTTAGCTTTACCTACTTTAGGAACACAAGGCTCAGTCTGAGAGAGGGAACAGAAAGGCTATCTATCCTAAAGCTGCTAAGGGACAGGGCTCTAACTATAAGTAGAACCACCATGCACTTGGGAAAGCAAACTGCTATTTAGAAAAAGACGGACATTGGGGGCAAAAAAACCCCAACCCAGGTGTTCAATAGCCATACAACTATCTAAGCAAAAATCATTTACTCATAACAAGCCAGGAAAGAATAAAGACAATGGCCATTAATTATAATAACAGGCCAAATTGTCCTCCTGTAGCCATATGGTTCTATAAACCACCAGCCTATTTTTAATATTTTCAATTCTTTTGAACCTTAAAGCTTCTAAGTGAGAAAACAGAAAAGTTCCATATAACTTTTCTGAGAACAACTTTAATTTCAATGAAAACGCTGATCCCTAAAACACATTCGGTATGTGAAACTATAGAATACACTCTGGTCTCTAAAGAGGCAAAACCAGACTTAAGCGAAGACAGACAAGTTTGAGGGCATCATAAATATTCACAGAAGTACTATTTTTCCTTTACCTCCAGAGAATATTTGCCCATGTATGACAGCTAGCAAAAGCTATTAGAATTAATGTCAATAATAATTGTTTCTAGCAAGCAACATGTTAAGATGGAGCTTCTATGGTTGGAACAAGTTTCTAGAAAAGCAAATCACTTGATGTAAATGAAGAAAAACAGACAACTTATTTGTCCAAAAAGGTCATGCAGATGATAGTGGATTGTCTTGAACTGTGATAACCTTACTTCCTTGGATTTATCAATGATTAATACCCAAAAACTGTAGCAGTGCCAGTCTAGGTCAGCAAAAAACATGCAAAAAGGATATTTAGGAATAACTAATTTACAGCAGCTAGTAGTATGTATACCCAAACTAACTTCCACGTAAACATACATTCTTCTACAATAACCTGGAAAACCTCCATTTTAATTTTATAAACCCAACAATGATATTGATTATAGAGTGTTAGCTGATCTGGACTGCCTGTCTCAGAATGGAAACAGGACTAATAACTGCAGCTGAAAACAAAACCAAACAAGATACCGCAAAGATAATTCTAAATTAAGGAAACAGTGAAGTATCAAAACAAAAACTTGGATTATTAAAGTGTCTTTTACGTGGTCTTGATGAGCTTTTGTATTTGAAGGTCCTCCTATTTAATTATATTTCTTTGAAGTAAATGAAAAAACAAAAGAAAGGTTTTTCACTCAATTGTAATGTAAACCTTTTGATGAAATTCCAAAACCATTCATAATTACAAACATTTTACTAACGGATGTGTCTCTAAAATTAAGTTTCATTAGTATTTATTTTTTATCTGTTTTGGGCAAGCTGCTATTTATTCAGCATTAGTAAATACAGCTGTGTTTGGTGGCTGATTTTTATGTGTTTGAAAACTACACACACACAAATACACAGCATATTAGTGTTAGGTACAGAAGAACCCTACTGTTTTCTGTTAAAAAGATTAATTTGTTACTGAAATCAGCACACACACAGAAAATCAGGGAATTAAATTTTTCATATTCCACATTGTCCTTTAATCTGAGATACTATTAGATATACTTAAACTACTCCTAAAAAATGCTTACCCACAGATGTTCACAGAACATGCAAATTCCATACTGCTCTCCTAAGTGGTCATCTACAATACCTAACTTTCCTTACAGTAAAAGGTTTCCTTAATGTCTAACCTAGATAATCTTTGCTGTACTGAAATCCATTTTTACCTATTCTCAAGGGACAATGAAAACTATTCTCTGGAGCAATCTTTTACCATATTCTGAAGACTTATCATGTCTTCCTAATGATAAATGTTTTTGGTTGAACAAACTAGTAGTACAGATTGTCCGAGTCTCTGATCATTATTATTTTTCATTTCTGGACTTTCTCAACACACTCTCATCTGCTCTGTTCCATTCTTGAGAGATTATGAATATACTTACACATCTGCCTGTCTGTCTAGTTAGAAATCTGATTATTTAGCTGCACTTTTCACAAAGTACTATAAATAAAGCATGGTTAATTACTAAGATGCAGTCAGTCTTTACTGTGAGGGTGGTCAGACACTGGAACAGGTTGCCCAGAGAAGTTGTGGATGCCCCGTCCCTGGAAGTGTTCAAGGCCAGGCTGGATGAGGCTTTGAGCAACCTGGTCTAGCGCGGGGTGTCCCTGCTGATGGCAGGAGTGTTGGAACTAGATGATCTTTAAGGTCCCTTCCAACCCAAACCATTCTATGATTCTAACCTCCAGACTTGTAGAAACAAATGCAAGATAACTATGGGCTTCTAAGTGACAGCAATGTAAGAAATAATTTCCCAAAATTCATAGTAAGTGGAATATTTCAAGAGGGAACTAAAGAGAAATACACACAGTTAATGGTGTTCACCTTAACTAAAAAACATTACTGTTGCAATTCTGTTCAAAGTGAAAAAAAGAACAAATTGAGTACACATCAGTAACTCTCTATCAAATCTATAGTAAATGACCTTGGGAGTCCATACAGAATTCCTTGGCCTGGTCAGAAAGGCTATGCCTTGTATTCAGAGGTCAGCTGAGCTCTTTCTTGCTCTGACATTTCACCTTTTGAATAAAGTTTTTTCTACTGCTTTCTAAAAATATACTTTTTTGAAGTATACAGACTGGTTATCTTTTTTCCTTAATTCATTAAAATAATTTTAATTATCTCTAAAGATAAGGCAATTTTTTTTGAACTTTACTGACACATTTACTGAACAAATTACCTTGCAAATATTTTCCAGGTTTTTTTTGTTTGTTTGTTTTGTGTTTTGTTTTTTATTTTTAAAAAAGGTAACTGTGTTTACCTTTTGGTGAATAAAAAGTCTTCAAAAGTATTTGCTAGCTCTGGCCACATACTGTCAAATTTTCCAGACGATGCATGCTGCCTTGCAACAGGTAGTCCAATAGAGAGAACTTTAAGAAGAGAGGAAACAGCTAGCTTCCATGTGCTTTCAGAAGGACAGGAATATTTCAGACTAAGAGGTATTCTTAGTGTCTGCAAAATGAAAGTTAAAACAAAAGTTACAGTTGCTCATACAAATCTAAGAATACAGCTGGTTTCAGCAGAAGATTTTAGCAGACACTGTCATAGGTGATAGTACACATCCCTACTTTTTCTGCTGGTATACGAGATGTTCTTTTAAAACTATAATTCTGAAGATGATTTACCATACACCAGCTGGTTAATGCACAGGTCTCTTGCCAAGTACAAGATTAGAAGTCAGAGTTGATCCATTATCAATTACACTATGAAATTACATACTAATTTTCTGTATTGCCATCCACCATTTCCGCTAAACCTGACAAATGGGCTTTCCTAACATCTAACAGATTACAGGCAGTTTGTTATCATGACTGCTTTTTGGAGAGTTTAGTCCCGTTCCTAGAAAGCTATCCCAAGCGCTTCCACAGTAAAGAAAAAAGTCTCATTAAATTTAAACTTTTCCTAATATACAAAAGTCAAATTGTATACATAGCCACTGCAAGACACCTGGTTGTTTCTGACTGTTAAACCACATGAGTTTAAAAGCAAAAAATTAGTGAAGTTCTAAAATAAAGGCTGCAATACAACTCAAATGTATAGCAGATGGAAACAGCAATTTTTAAGTCATTTAGATAGACAGATACAATATCTATAAAAGAAAGTAATTAATGAGTTTAAAAACATTAAGCATACATACTATTTACCCTATATGTATTCCTTTTAGCATTGTTAGGCAAACTAGAACCTGATACCAAGTTACCTTGGAAAACTAATTATTTTATTTACATTTCAAATACAAACTGACTAAACTCAGGTATTACACATATGATCTCAATGCTTTTAGTGAAGTCTCTCATTTGAGGACAGCAAAGGGAGGAAGAGGAAAGGCTCACTTCTTGCTCTCAAGAGTGGGTAAACTGTAATTAACTCTCTATTGTCAAAAATTATGAGCTAGGATCTATCCCTAGAGATAAACAGAATATTTTCTGCTGCTGCTGTTGTTCATAGGGGACAAATCTAGTTCCAATACCAACATGGGCTTTGGAGACATGAAAAATAATTTAAGAAACATTTTCATCCACTGCAATACATCACATTATTATCAACTGTGAGCATTAAAGAAAAGTGGTGTTTAGATCAGTTTCACCTATTCCATTAAAACAGAAGTGGAAAGCAATGGCATTAACTTTGAAGTACAAATATTTAATTCGTAACAGATTCCACATAATACCACATAACTATTATAAACATGTTCAGGTTTCTAAATTTCTATTCAGGAACAACCTGATGTCAGCCAAATTATTACAAACAAACCTAGGTGGCATACATTTTTTCCCAGGCATTTACTACTACTTTTATTATTTACCAAATTCATTTGCTAAAATGGAAACAATGTAAAAAAAGAGGCCTGCTTATCAGATTTAGGTGCATAATACTTTCAAATATTACTATTTTATGGCCTAACAAATTTGTTTATTTTTATCTTAACACTGAAATACTGATGCTGACATTATCCAGCTAAAGAACAATATATATAGCCTAATCAATAGCCTTGCAACTTCAAAAGAAATTACTACCTGCTGCTCATCTTCATAAAATATCAATTAATTTACTAAAGCTTTAAGCTTCCCAGAAATTGTTTATCTACACTAGCTCAAAACAGAACTCATTCTTTTCCATATAAGCTCATTACATTCACAGCATACACAGGACAAACTTTTACCTTAATAACGTTCTGAAGAACCTTCTCTGTTACCACAGCTTTATGGCAAGCTGTCTTTTGGTATAAATCCACAACAACTTCCAACGACCTCTCAGCAAATGGTACATAATTCAATGCTACCCATTCCGCCTAGGAAAAGAAATTAGTGAATTACTGAACTATAGGTGAAAATATATTGAGGAATGGAAAATGTATGTTTTGCATTGAACTCTTAGTTTAATGCATGCAAGGTTTGCTCAGAATATGGTCCAAGCAACAAAACCGCAAATACAATGTAGTCTGACTATACAAATGTACTCTACATTGAAGTAAAGTACATTTGAGTAGGAGAAACGTTGCAGTCTAGGCAAGACAACTACATTAGGACAATCTTTAAGGAAATTTAACTCACCGGTGCAAATAGCTGTATCTAGTGTGATTCCATTGTGTTGCAGGACAAACAGAATAAGAAGAATTAATACATACATAATAGTTACCTCTTTGCTTACAGTGAATCAGATGCTCATGCTTACTGAACAGCAGAGTACACAGATAAAAAGAATTATTGAGTGTGTCCCATTTCTCTACAGCACGTGCAATTCAAAAATTTGCACCTTGAGGCAATTTTCTCCATACAAAATTAATGTGTCTTTCTGTTAAATTTGTCATCACATATAGGACAAGTTAACTCACTGGACAAATTCAGACATATTCACTATGTCTGGTGTCCAGGCAAGACCCTTCTTCCTACATGTAGGAATACAAAGTACAAAAAGCAAGACAGAATTCAAAGGGAGCAAATAAAGATAAAATAATGTAAAAAATACTAATAAATTAACTTATTACTCAACATGAACAGCAAAGTTTTTACAGCTGGAATAAATGCATCTTGCTAAACAACCTGTATCTGAAGCTGAGCTGGGTTCACCAGCCACGTGAAACAAGCAAAATTTCTAATTAATTACCTGATTATACTTTGCATTTGCAATGTGCTTTGTTTCCAACTGTCCATACTGTGGAGGTTTGCAAGAAAATTCTACAAAGGCCAACAGCTGGTCGAAGATTGCAGGATACATTATCTGCATACTTTCTGAGCCCACACATATAGCCTATACCAAAAGAAAATACAAAAGCTGAGTATGTATCTTGAGCTGCCACGTTCAAAAGTCTGCATCAGTACAAGGAGCTCCTAAAGAAAAATTCCCAGATAAGACTATGCAACAGTCATGCTATATAAAAGACAGTGTATCGTTCTAACAGTTTAAGGAAAGTAAGTTTTGTTATTTTACTAGAGTAAATTAAGTGGCAAGATACCTGGGCATATAGTTAAATAAATACATAAATATTTTCTTTACAAACTCTGCTTGACATGACAGCAAAATATAAGTCTTATATAAGTCTTGCCTGTTGATCTCAGCCAGATCTTCTTTAAGTTCTACTTCAAGGAACAGTTAAATCTCAGAAGTAATTCATACAAGATTTTCTTAAGTAGTTAAAATTGTGTCTTAGGGAGAGGAACATAAATAAAATGAGAATTATATGATTTTGGTATAGCTGAAACTCTTAATACTCTTGCTTTAAAATGGAAAACATTACAAGGGTGTACTTGGAAGATGTCAATGAAATAGCATGTTGTCATAGGCTAATGATTTCCTGTTGCAAAATAAATCCCAAGGCAACCTTAGGGCATTTATTTTCAAAGCCAGATACAATGATTCTATGAAGTTACTCCAATTACTTTCTGTCATTTTAAATGTCTTGCTTTTCCTCCCAAAGTCTCTCCTCTCAAAGCTTTAAGAAAGTATATTTATTGCTCCACAAAAAGACCTTGTGCTTGTACTGCCATTTTTCTCTGTGGAGGAATCAAACACCTTTTTCATTAACTACAGATCATCCATAACAAGTTGTGGCTGAACTCACTCAAGCTGCCAACAGTTTCAAAGCTATTCAAGTGCAGCCTACATGCTGGGGCTGTTTCATGAGCTGTGGCAGTCGACAGGCTAGCAAATATCCTGAGTCCCCAACCATGAGAGGGAGCAAGCCAACAGAGGCTACAGGCACTGTCATCACTAAATCACCCTAAGACCTGGCTGCACCTCCAGGCAATCTACAGTCTGCAGCAGAGCACTCCACAAATGATCCATGGCCTCTCCTTTTTCCTCAGCTTCCTGCAGTTCAAAATGCATGTCTAGTGCTCAAAAAGCTTAATCAACATCACGAAAATAATGCAGCATTCCTTGTAAAAAGCCATACTCCTTTTCTGGTGCTCAAGGTCAAGACTGTACTGAACTCTGAAAAAGATGCTTTGATGCTAGATACTCATCTGTGTGTCAGGAGACTAAGAGGTTAATTGCTGATCTAAAAGTATTCAACAGCATGTAAAACAATTTCAGCTGATATGCTGCTGCATTAAAGTCACCACACTAAATTTTAACAGGTTCATGCAAGATTAAGCACCTATTAGAAAACGTATAAAAATATTTTATGTACCAACACATGGATTAGAAAGGGAAAGAAATCCACAAAACCCTGGGTAACTTTTGTATAGATGCAACTTAGTTGCACAGATGCAATTTACGTTACCCACAGAAGTAACATAACATCTAGAATAGCAAAACTTCAAAATACATTTGCCATTCACTCCAGATTGTTAGATTTTTATTATGATTATTATTCATTTCAGATCAGTGGAAAATAATTTCTACTTTTGCTGTAGTGGTGAACAAAAGCAATAACTACTTCCTATTTGAGGTTTGTGCATGAGCAGCTTCTTATTCTTCATATTTTATGAAACTCTTGTAAAATTTTTATTTTACAGAGAAAAGTATTTTCCATCTAGTCCATTGGTGCATTCTCAACTCTAAAAATTATCCATATAATGTTAAAAAAGGAGGATTATTTTTGAAAATTCATCTAACTGGAACTGCTTTTCAAAGATGTTTACGCTCTGACTGACACCAGATAACTTTTACCTAAGCATATGAAAAACTCAAAAATAGCCTAGCAAAGTGTGTGATGAAAATGCTGAAAGTACCTTTAAGAGCTGCTAATAAAACAGAGTAGTATTTACTGCATTAAGTGCACTTATTTACATACTTAAGAGACACACATAAATCAAGAGGTAATGGTCAAGCAACAACAAAACACCAACAAACCCTAAAATGAAATACTCTGCAGATCATTGTCGTAAAAACTGGCAGAGTACTTTAGTTTCAGAAATTAATGCTTTAAAGCATTCTGGTACTACACCTTCACATTTTTTAGCAGTTCAGATTTATCTAACAAATCCCAGTGCAACTATTGTCATGGAATACTTTTTTTTTTTTAACAGCTCTCCACAGCAAATTCTCTACTATCTCTGTCAATGTATGTAAATATAGCCTTGAGTTTACCACACTCGTAGCTCAAGAGGTTGGTATGCATACTGCCTGCAGAGGCAGAATTTAAATGCATCTGATCCCCAAGTACGTATCTGTGTTCCTCTGTCTGATGAGCCAGCTGGCTCGCAGTAGAATTGACCCAGAATCAATGTAGGAAGGCAGTGAAAATAATCAGAGAATTTGGGCTTGTAGTTACACTACAGCAGTGAAAAAACAGAAAACAAGTTATACTGAGGAATAAAAAGAAAACTAAGAACAAAACAAAGGGGGTAAAATGGGCTCAACACACGGAAGTCTGAAAGGAAAACCAAGGTTCCCTTCCAGTCCCACGTTCTTGATTTTTCTGAAGGAACAGTGTATTTTGCAAGGAGCTGTTTTACATCTCCAGAAAGAAAGAAGCAATATAGCAATATCTTTTTCTTTTTTTAACTATTCAGGAAAAAGGGCACCCTCGTTTGTTGTCTACAGATTCACTTGCATGAAGAGTGCTCTTTGAGCATGAGTTCTATAGTAAGAATTTCTTAAGCAGAGATGCAGCATTTTCCTTAAACAACTGATTAACACGAGGCAAGAAGGTAGGTGGCCTGCCAGAGACCTATTTATATTTTATGTTTTGCTTAGACTCAAAGTTCTCATGATCACTATTCTTCTACACTTTGTTTATGGCAGTATCTGGACAACATAATGAATACTGTATGGGGGACTATTCCCCCAACTCTGTGTACAGACTCTCATAATAGTACAATATTGTGATATTAGGTAGATAAGTAAATGGCTACAAACACGGCACCACACTTATGGTATTTCTGCCATTAGGCAAAAATGCATTTCATAAGAACTACACCATTTTTTCAATGCAGAACACCTAGGCTGCACCAGGAACAGTACAGTACAGATCTGATTGTTCTAATACAGTACACTGTGCGATTATTTATTATTTTAAAAATCATGTTTAAGTCACCACACTACAGTTCCGAGAAGAAGAATTAAAACAGTGTAGTTTACCTTTCACCACACATTTGAAGTCACATTATTACCTTTTGTAAAACATCTAAAGCTGTAAGCACCGCTTCCTGTAAACTTGTCAAAACTGCTTCAGTGTAAGATGGCAGGATGAAAGGGGAAGCATCAGAACTGATTGGAACTGAAACAGCACCGTGCAAAATGACACCCAGCTTTTGGAGATCATCCATGCTGAAACCAGTTTTGATGTGTTGGTAAAGAGCTGGGAATATTTGAATTAAAGCTGTAAGAAAAGGCTGGCTAGGAATGAAAGTCAATTTATCACAAGTAATTGGAGGCCTTGTACTTTCTGAACCAATCCTATACCAGCTGTTCCAGGCTGCCCACCAAAGATTCAAATCTTCAATTTCATCTGTTATTACAGGTGGTTCAGATCCATTGTATTTTCCTATTCTTTCTCCTATGGAGTCAGTTCTCATGAATGATCTGCCAAGACTTGTAGCAGTTGTTGTCCCTACCACCACAGGTACAGAAACATTGATAGCAGGTGGTGTGTCAGGCTTCTCTGAGTCTCGGGCAGGAGAAACAATTTGTAAGATCTCCTGAAAGCTTTTCAGAGCAGCCAAGGAAACTTCATTATTTTTGCTGAGTGCTGCTGATTGGATGTGATCAAGAAGAACATCCCAGGCTTGGGAAAAGTCTCCTATTTAAAAAACAAAAAACAGAAAGAAAAAATAAAATCAACTTGAAACTGGCCTCCTACTCCCCTTCCCACCCACCCTGTCTCTAAAAGGCTGTTCACTAATAACAGAGGCTGTTACTCTAACACAGAAGAATTTCACGAAGTTAGGCGATTGCCTGAATGAGTTTCAGAATATATCAGTTGAACTGTAAACAGAAAGAATGAATGTGACAGGGAAACACACAAATATGAAGAATGAAACAATAAATATATCAATGTTTATGTGGAATGTGCTAGAGAAAAATCACATACCACATCCCACACTAGAAAAATAAGTTTTCTTCATTCAGGATATTGAAACAGATTTGTTCTTATCCATACCACATGCTTTTAGATTTCAAAAAGCGTTAAGCACACACACGGAATTCGTGGTCAAATCTATAGTCTAAAGGTCAAATCTACACGTATCATCTATACATGCATTTGTAAAGAATTGATATTTAACTGCTCTGATAATTGTACTGTGGAGAAAGATTTATTTTTTGGAGTTTGAATTTTTCATTAAATTTAGCATTAACCTTCAGTTTTCTATGTTACTAATTACTGTGTTTGAATAATTAAAATAGACCTGTAAATTTTTTTTCCCCAGTTTTAAGTAAAGTTTAAGATAGTTTAAAATCTACTACATTTCTGCAAATGGCAAATACTCTTGATAGCTATTAATATGTTGACATCTGTATCACAAACAACCAAAATGAAATAAAACACAACTTATTTCTAGTTATGTATATTAACTGCATACTATGGGATAGTGAAGGCATATTAATGTAATAGGGAATCTTCTTTGCAAGCTATACATTCTTTATATCACATTTTTATTTTTGATAGTAATGTATTTAAGTAATTCTAGTTAACCGAATTAGAAACAAAAGTTGTTTTGAAATTATATCAGAATATTTAGAAGCCTAAACTGAAACATTTTTTCTGTACAAAAAAAAGCATGAATGCTGAATTGTATTATCTAGTTCAATACATTTACATCGTTCAATTGTATGTAGTAATATTTTATATTTTACAATAGCTTAGTAAATGACCTAATGTTTAATTTCTATAAGGAGAAAGCAAAAAAAGAACTAAGGAAAAATCAGAGCCTGAGAAAAAGGAAGAGAAAGAAAGAAAGAAAGAAGTCAAGGAGCCACTGAAGAAAAATAATAATAAAAAAATCAGAATGGAAAAAGTAAGATATCAAGGAAGAAGAAAAGGAGAACTCACTTCAGTTAGCTACATTAGGGAAAACAGTAAAGTAATCCAAAATGACATCTCTGTACAAGACAAACAGTGGAGGAGTATCATGAGGACAGAAAGAGAATCACTTGAAATAGCGGGTAATCTCAACATATTTCACATTATAAGAAGTCCACTCTTTTCATTAAATTATTCCCTTTCTTCTTTCTAAGCTATATACTTAATTGACTTTACAACTCAGTTCTCTTCACATTGTAGGAGCACTGTTAAACTCGACACATTAACGCCCAGAATTCTTCTAGGCAAGTGTTGCATAACCTTAGAAAGACAAGAGGAAAAATATGTTCTGACAACCAAAAGAAAAGAAAAATTAAAGTTATTTGGTACCCAGAATTGTGACTAGTGAGATTTAACCTCAAGTATAGTGATACGGAAGACGAAATCGGTACTTACAATTCTTAGCTCTAAGGAGCATGAATGAAAAACTCCATCATTTTCATCACACTTGAGGTGAGACACAACAGAACACACTTTTAACCTAAGATTAAGATTCTTGCCCAGTATTTTAACTGACAAAATATACAAAAGCCGAAAGTTTATTACTGTATCTTTCAGTAACTTTAAACTATAAATTTTACCTAAAGGCTGCAGTAAGTATCTCCTGGTGTTAAATATTCTTGCAACTCCAGCCAGTGTTAATACCCATGTCTCGGCCCACTGTTTCTCAGCTGTATCCCTTGAATGATGGATGAGAATGTTGCCTCCTCCTGATTCAATCTTCTCTTTGTCAGCTGTGGTAGAAGATTCTCGAACCCTATCCAACAGGTGAAATAAAACCTGTGATAGTCAGAAAAAAGAGGAAAAAAACAACTTTTCAAATAACATAGTTGTATTCATGGTGAAACAACAAAAGATTAGTAATTTTTCCAGTATCCATTCTGTCACCTTGAGAATTCTCTTATTTTAAAGTCTCTGCAACAGTTAAGAGTAAGAATCAGCCAACTGATGTTTCACTTGAGAAGGGTTAGAAATAGCCTGATTAAAACCACTGAGAACAAAGTAAGCACTAACAGAAGGCTAAAACCAATGGATCTCAGACACCTCATAGGTACCACAGGCAAAAGACTCAACTACAGCCTGACCTTTTCCATAAGGCACAACCATCATGACTGTGATCTAGAACAGGGCATTTGATGGATCCTTTCAAGTAAAAGAGCCAAAACAGAGTGCAAAATAAAGCTCGATATAATATCAGATCAATCCAATCACATGACCCTCAAATGTCACCATATTTTCACACAAAGGAAGGAGACATTCATCTTCATAGGAAGGGAGCAGCCTTTTTATAAAACTCCTGAGTAAGAAAGAAATGGTCAAGATACACAAATTACATTTCACAAGAGGCTTTAAGAGCCAGAGAAAAGAAAGTGTGGGAGGACAAAAAAAAAAAAAAAAAAAATTATATTGGACTTCTGCCACCATATCTTATCTTTAAAAAGTCTTAATAAACTAGTTAACTGATACTAAAATAGCATGTCAATGGTTAACAAAACGTGAATGCAGTTTAAAAAAAACCCTTCAGTGGAAGCTTACACATCATACCTTCCATATGACAGTATGCCACGTTGAATGCTGCAATAAAGTCCCATGAGCACCAATAGTAGAAAACAATGTCTGCCCAGCACTCTTTCTAACTGCAGGTCGGGGATCCACACACAGTTCTCCAAGTTTGGCATAGAGGCATAACCAAAGACAGTCAAATGGTGGTGCAGGATGAAAAGGTCTATTCAGCGTCATTCCCTTTTCTTCTGCCTGTTTCTGCAACACTGCTTCTTCTCTGTTTAGCTCCTTTTCAATTATATCACCTCTTTGGAAAAAATAATCCGAAATATTCCACTACAAAATAAGTAAGACACATGCTGTTGTACAATAAAAATATTATAATGCAAGGGAATTCAGTAAGAAGTCCAAAAAAAAAAAGGAAAGG